TCCTGCTTGAGGGGAGGCCAAAGAGACAGATGTCCACAGATCTTGGACAGAGCCTGTCCCCGCACTGTGGAGAGCCACAGAGCAGAGGAAGGGGTGATTTCCTATGTCCAGAACAGCAGGACATCATGTCCTCGAATGCATCCTGTCCATGGCAACCCTGAGGGACCATTTCTGCTCACCCCCCACCATCACCCTCTACACCCAGGTGTGCCATGCCCAGCCAGGCCTTGCAACATCATTTTGGAGACATCTCGTTTGCAGCCAGTGGTGAGGCTGTTTCTGGCAGCGTGTGCCATCCTCTGAAATGGCTTGTCACAGGCATGCAGCCGCCAGCCCACCTATGCTATCCCCTCTGGGAGTTTTTTTTGCTGCCAGCCTGGCCCCTCTGAGCCGTGAATGCTGTGGAGGGTGTTGGTGTGCCCAGCCTCCCAGCTGGCACCCACAGGGAGGATGTGGTCTCAGGGCTGTACCTTTAGCAGTGAGTGATGTCCTGGACAAGTTGAGGCTCTGCAGGCCCTTGGGCCTCTTCTCAAAGTGCTGGCTGAAGGCAATTATCCCTAATGGAAGAGTAGAAAGCCCTGAGCAGCCATGAGAGCGCAAACAGGTGTCCGCACCACCCTCAAGTATTGTCCCCACAGTGCAGGGCAGCAAGGCAGCTCTCTGAGCTGCTTGCTGCAGGCACAGCCAGACTGGTGAGTGGCTTGGGCTGCCTTGCAAATGCTGGAAAGGTCGAGGGCCAGGAGCTGCAGAAGGAGGCCATGAGTTGCTCCACACTCGCCATCAGGCTGCACAGGGGATTAGGGGTTGAGAACAGAGCCAGCCCACTCCTGTTGCTGCTTTCCGCAGGCACTTCCAGGCAGGGAGCTGCCTTTTCCCAGCTGCCAATGGGATGCAGAGTTGGGGAAAGAGATGAAGGGCAATCCCAGGGCAGGAGGAAAAAAACAGTTCACATGAGCTTAAATGCATTCTGGCACAGCGGGCTGTAGAGTACCTCTGTCTTCCAGCTGGTTGCCAGCAAGATTGATGGTGTGTAGCACAGAGTCAGGATGTCTGCTGAGTGCCTGGGCCATCCGCTGAGCAAAGTCACTGCAGAGAGAAGGGATGTGTGTCTGACAAAGGTACAGACACCACTGAGAGACATGGCCGCCTACCCTGCAGCCTTGCGGGGATGCAGTGCTGGCTCCTGCTAGAGTGCCAGAGCCAGGCTTCATCCAAAAGCAGAGTCTCGCCAAGGCTGCAGCAGGCCTGCTGGCCTCCAGGCTGTGGGGAGGTGGAGCGGGGGCTGCTCCTCAGTGGGCTCTCGCACTGTCTAGGCTATGTGGCATCAACATCCCAGTTGCAGGGACACCCAACCCGGGCATATGAGTGAGCTGGCCAGGGTGCTGCACCCTCCTGGCAGCCCCAACAGTGCAGCTCTGCGGTCTTCTACCCATGCAGGGCAGGCTGCAGGGCCAATATGCAGGTTAATGTTTCAGTGACCTTACCAAGGAGCCCCACAGTCCTAAACTGTGAACCGCT